ATCACTCCCCTCCTGAAAGTCTAGCGGCTTCTCCACTGCAGCTAGCAAACACAAGCTCCTCTATTTAGCTATAAAAACCCTTCACAACCTCATCTCAATTATCTTTCCAAACTCACTGCACAGTCATCCAGACCCCCTGGCCTTCTCCCTATGCCTCACGTACAGCATTCCTTCTCTCCCTGCCTCGACTCTGCATCTCTTCCCTCTGTGGAAGGTCCTCCCTTTCTCCTCCCCTCTACCTCATAAAGCCCCTCTCTTTTTTTCTGAAGTCTCGTAATCTACCTCATGGTCAACTCTTTTGTACTGGCTCTTCACTTTCCATAGATACTTATGCGGTGCTCATGTCATCAGGAGGAAAGTTCCCCAGCAATGGGGACTGGTTCACTCTTTTCCTCTGTAGCCGCAGCACCTGATACAACCGATATGCCCATGCCTGATACATAGCAGGTATTTCATAAATTCTTGATGATTCATTAGTCATAGCCATCATTTAAACAAAAGCTTTCCCTGATGGGTAATTACCTAATAACAGGTTTTAGCAACCTAGGTAACACTAACAGTAAGAACAGACGACGACGACGACGATGATGACAACGACTACTACTACCACTACCACCACCACCACTTGCTTCAGACTAATATGTGTGTGTGCGCGCGTGCGCACGCGCGCGCTTAATAAATTAATTATATCAATAAAACTATTGGCAGTACTAGATTCATATATAAAATTTAACTTATTGGTCAGTGACAGTATATACGCTCAAATCAAACTCAAGGGTATAAACTAGCCACATTTGGTATTCTGGGCTCAAATCTGCCTAAGACATTAGCTTTGGCAGAGACCTCACTTCTTTTTCTAATCTGTTAAATGGGCTGACAGGTTGCTGTGAAAGCAAAAGATCTTGCCAACAATTCTCAACTCCCCTTGTGACCCTCTTGCTCCTATCACAGGCATGTCACATGGTACTTAATTTCCCTGATTACATTATTACCTTATTAAGTAAACTGGAAAGAAAATGTTTTGGAATAAAAGGGCATCAGAAATAAGCTCACTAGAGGACAAGTAGGAATTATAAATAACTGAACAAGTGCCTCTTGCTCTGGTCTCTAACACAAAAATTCAAGAGACAAAATATTTTACTAAAAGAAAAATTCCAGGCCAATGCATATATTGTTGTTTTCTTGTACCTAGGTCTCCCCAACCTAGCAATGTTGTTAACAGGAGAGATGAGAAACATCTTTTATTTGTTAAATGATGATGCTAAGCCAGTATAAATTATGCGACAGGAGCTAATAATTCACATCTAAATAACTTAACAGTGGTGTTACATCTCCACTAACTACACCATCCAAAGACACAACTTTAAGAAAAGACAGAAGCTAGAATAAATTCAGGATGGTGCCATAACGGCCAAGACACTAAGGTTTCACATTTCCCCAGCACACTTAACCCAAAGGAACAAACTAGAGAAGGATCTGCTTCCAATTCTAATTCAGTGGATACAAAGCACTTAATGATGGCAAGCAAAGCACTAATCACATTAAGGCACAGCTCCTGCCAAGAGCAGGTGATGACCTAAACACGAAGATTCAGTCGCTAACTGATTTGCAATCTTGCACTCCAGGCCCAACACTGGACATGACAAAACGACACTGGCCATTTGGGTTGTTACGTTTCTTGCCCATGACATCTCTCAACGGCTTCTCCTAAAAGTCATGAGAAAGAAATAGGACAAAACTAAGAAAACCATGATCCTTTTAGAGATTCACAACCCCTCACCCAATGGAGTGCTGACCAGTGTAAGGTAAAAGCGATGAGGCCATGGGGATCTCCAACCTGAGGACTCCAGAAAATGTGCTCATCTCCCAGGTGGATGATCCAGGAAGGCACCACTGAAAAGCCAAGCCCAAAGCTAGGTCCTAAAGAAAAGGATTTGCAAAGGCAGATATAAGGAAGGAATGTAATCTGGACAGAAGGGCTTAGGAGAACAACAGGATATAACAAGAAACCAGCTACAGCAGAGTCCATAGAAAGCACCATGCAAGAAAGGCCAGAGAGGGTAGGAGGGAGACAAGTCGTAGAGGGTTTACCCTAAAGGCAAATGAGAACTACTGACCCCATGGGTAGGAGAGTAATGGGTTCCCCTGCATACTTTAGGAAGATTATTTTAGTAAATAAATAAATGGTGTTCAAGATGATGACAGATGAAGTGATAAGGGTCTGAACCATTAGTGACTCTGAGCTTTACTCAAGTAAGAAAAAACACAATACTCAGCTTTGAAGCGCTATTTATCTGTGCTAGTCAAACAAATAACAATTGTCTCCTACGCTGACTGTCACCTCAAAATGCTCTTAAATAACACTGCCATCAATGGAGGAAGTGATTCAAAAGGCCTCAATGAGGTCTGAGTCAAAAGGTCTTCTAGAAGTCCAGGCCAGTTCAGAGTTCGAGAAGAGCTGTGGACTGAGGCAGAGGCATTTAAAAAGTGGGAGGGAAGCATGTGGCTCTAGGCTTTGAAATTCAATCCTTCTAAAGCAAGGTTTCAAAGAAAAACATAATTTGGGCATAAACTGAACTAAAATTCCTGGAAGAGATAAAGTTTTAAAATGGTTTTTATGATAAAATGAGAGAGCTAGAGGGAGAAAACGGAAAAGAAACAAGAGTTATGGAAGAAAGAACTGGAATGAGAAGTAACAGCTAGGTATATGAGGTACAAAACACTGTCCAAGCAGCAAACTCTGAAAATCAGAATGGACCATAAAGAAGCTAAGTCAAAGGACTGAAAAAAGTAGAAGAAAATGTAAAGTACATCATAGCAAAAGCAAGTGACCTAAAAAAGACATCAAGGAGAAAAAAAATTTTAAATCACTGGAATATCTAAAAAAAGAGCCTAGTCAAGCAATCTAAAAAGCTGTCCAGATCTCTTAAATCAGGAGCGCAAAGTGGAAATAGAAATAGAACAAATCCATCAGTCACCCTCTGAAAGAAACCTCAAAATGAAAATTCCCAGGAATATTATAGCCAAAATCCAGAACTTCCAGCTTAAAGAAAAAGTACTGCTGATAGAAACAATGAATTCAAGTACTGAGGATGATCACACAGGATTTGGCAGCCACAAGTTTAAAGTAGCAGAGAACTTAAAATTCAGTTCTCCAGAAGGCAAAAATTACCCAGAAAACCAGAAAACGGACTGATAATGATACAGGACTTCCAAGCATTCCTGATGAAAGACCAGAGCTGCTTGGAAATTCTGATGTGCAAACACAGAAATCAGGAGAAACATAAAAAGGTAAATGTGAACAATCATAAGAGACTTAAAACACATGATAAGCCACTTCAATTCTAACATGGGGAGATGACACATGGGCCTTCTGAACCCATGCTCCTCAGGCATCAGTTATGTCTTCACAGTCTAAAAGGGCTTGGAAGAGTTAGAGAGGAAGAGCAATAAGATATTAGGAGAAAGGATCTCCCATAATCAGGGTGTGTTAGAATTCTATACAACCAAGTAGGAAGGGGTGTGGGGTAGGAGGAGGAGCCTGAAGTTTGAATCTCACTGTCACCTGAATTGCCTGGTACAAGGAAGAGAGACTATACACAGATGCACACCCATTTAAGAGCACAAGTGCAAGACAAGGGAAAATAAGAGGGAAGGCAGAGTAAGGTATAGATCAGTCTTAAGCAAAACAAACTAAGGGTGTACAAACGTTTGCAGAAGTTCTTTTTGTTCTGAACAACATGATGTGAAGGAATACTACCACACTGAAAGAAGTGATGAAGATAATGAAGGAGATGGCTCCAGAGACACCTGGGAGGGCTTGCACAAACTGAAGCAAAGTGAAGTAAGAAGAAGCCAGGAGAACAATTTATACAGTAACAATATGATAAGACAAAAGACTGATCACAGTGATGACCACCTATCATTTCTAGAGGACTCAGGAGGAAAACCATATACTAGACTTCTGATCAAAAGGTGATGGACTTAGGGTGTGCACATTTATCTTGGACATATCCAGTGTGGGAATTTGCTTTCTTTGACTATAAATGTTTGTACCAGGGATTTTGTTTCTCTTTCTTTCTCAACTAGGAAGATAAAGTGGATCTTTAGTTCAAAAAATTTTTTTAAAAAGGAAAATGCTATTATGAAAATGGAAGAGTCCAGATTTTGTTTTTGCTTTTTAAGGTGAAGCTCATCCGATAAAGTTAAGAGGCACAAATGATCCAATAAATCGCCACCATACGATGGAAAGACTCTGGACTGGCGGTCAGAAGACTCACTACCCATTTGTTTGTGACCATGGGCTGTTACTCTCTTTTCTGTACCCATTTTCCCACTTGTCACAACTTACTCCATAGAACGTGTTAAGAATTAAATGAACTGCCCTGTGAAGGAATCTCATTTTCTATTAGTCTACCATAAATACTCGCCCCTCTTGGGTAAGGACTGCCAATAAGTAATTTTATTTGATTCACAGAATCAGGAGTTTAAAACCATGAAGCACAACTTGAAGACAGAAGCCATACAGTAAATGTTTGCTAATGGTGTTGAACGAATGAGTGTTTTACCTACTCATTCACAAATCACTACAACATGCAAATTCAGTTTTTATATCTAGGAAAGCTTAAAAAAAACTCCAGCGATGACTCCAAAGACCAAACAACTTATTACAAAAATGTTAAAGCATGGTTATTGAGCCAATTCAATACATGCTTCAAACTCTCTTCACACATATTGGGTCTTCTAAAAAAAAATACACACACACACACACACACACACACATCATATTGAGCAAGTGTTTTTCCTAATTAATGATATTTCATCTGGGAAAAAAGAAAACCTCCTCCCCTTAGCCCTAGGGTACCAAACATAAGTTCTCCAGATCTCTTTTCCAACGCCTGAACGTTGACCCTTACTGCAGTACTACTCCTGTCGGCTCCCCCCCCCGACCCCCCCCCATCTGACCTAATGTTCTGACTTCCACAATCAAGAGCCCTTACCTTGTATGGATCAAGTAAAAAGTCACTGAACTTGCTGGGCAGGGCATGCTTCCTCACTAGCTCATCCTCTACAACCCAGGGCGCGTTTTCACCCGTGCCGGCACGGAGAGCGTTATGGCGGATAAAGTACCGAAGAATTTCTTTGTTGGGTGGCCGTTCGGTGCGAATCAAGCTGTCTGCAGGAACATTGCTGATGATCTAGGAAATCAAACCAAATTCATTACTGGGGCCCCAGTGAGATTACTAAGTACAGCAAGAGCAACATAACATTTTAAGAAAGAGAAAAGAGCTCATGTTTCAGGATTCTGAGATACAGGCTGTTCTCAAGTACTTCTCAAAAGATCTTAACCAGCGGCAGCTAGGTGGTGCAGTGGATAGAGAACCAGCCCTGAAATCAGGAGGACCTGAGTTCAAATCCGGCCTCAGACCAAACACTTGACACTTACTAGCTGTGTGACCCTGGGCAAGTCACTTAACCCCAAATGCCTAAAAAGAAAAGAAAACAAAACAAAAGATCGTAACCATATAAAGAGTCTCAGACACCACGTAGTCTCACTTTTCGTCGAATGTCTGTGTGAACAGACAACTCACTAGCTAAAGGGATGTCTATTACAGTTTCAAGCAGTTCAAAATATTAGAAAACATTTCCTTATACTGAGTTCTAGGTACACTTCCCTATAATTTCTCACCTGTAATACTACTTTATCTACTCTCTGGAACTATGTAAAAACAAATAATCCTTCCATAAAAATCCTTCAATCGTGTGAAAACAATAACCATATCCCTGTGGTCCCAACAATGTTATTCTCCAAATCAACCCTAGTGCCATCTGTAGAACAATATTATCAACTGACATGAACAAATCAAGTTTAAAGATAAAATGCCACCTTAAAAGGAATTCTTTCAAGTCAAGAAAACTGCCTCTCTACTATAAGGCCTGTACATACTTAACAACTGCACAAGATTTCTAGAGCTCAAATATCAGCCCCATTTCATTCCTTGCAGTTTTAAGAAAATAAGATTTGAAGTATAATGATTCACAATAGAAATCTGTAATTTGATGAAGCTATGCTATATAAGGTACCCTTCTTCCTCTTCTCAAGTATTTTAGGACAATGGCTACCCTGATGCAACATGGCCCAAAGGTAAGCTTCCAGTGGGAGGACTAGAAAAAAATCTTACCAATCGCAAAGCAGGGTTGGACCAAGTGACTCTTAGGCTCCTTTCAGCTCTAACATTTATTACACTTAGCTAAGTAAGGCAGGAAATGGCTCCTTCACCTCACCTGTGTTCCACAAATTCCTCAGCAAAGGTGGAGCTGATACCTTTGACTGTGCACAAGTTTATCTTCTATTTTGACTTGCCCTATTTTAATTAAGGATTATTCTTTTCTGGATTGCCAAAGACAACTCTTTAGTGTTGAAGTTCAGAAGTAATTTCTTTTCCACCATAGAGAGCCATGATGGAAAAATATCTATCGGGGCAGTGAGGTGAGGCAGTGGATAGAACGCTGGCCCTGGAGTCAATGAGGTAAAATCTGAGCTAAAATCTGACCTCAAACAATTACTAGCTGTGTGACCTTGGGCATGTCACTTAACCCTGACTGCCTCCAAAAGAAAAAAAGAAATATCTGTCCTATTAATATAATAAAAAAAATTTTTTTTAAAGAATTGAAGGGGTGGGGGGGTGATTTTTTTTCCTGGTTCTGCTTACTTTATAATGGTTTAATCTTCCTATACTTGTCTGGATTCATTATGGTTAACATTTCTTACAGCATAATACTCCATCACCAACTGAGGGGCCTTTATCCATTCTCCAGTACTGACACTCAAAAAGCAGCTGATGACTCAGAGACTGTTTCACTTTTTATACCTATATAAAACACAGCAAGCCCTTAACAGTCACTGACTGATTGGTGAGCTGGGGCTCTTGTCACTCACCCCTTGGAGTATGTGCCCAACGATGGAATCTTTGCTATCTTCTCTGCACATTTCCAAATTGTTCTGAGGAACAGGCAGACCAGTTCACAAATCAACCAACTCTGTAATTAAGTCTTTTCACAACACTGACTAGGCCCATATTGTTAGCTTTGCCAATTTGATGAGTGTGAAGTAAAACCTCAGAATAGGTTTGATTTGCATTTTTCCTATTTCTCAGTGTGTGTGTGGGGGGGGGGTTCAGTGTATTCTTTTAGTTTGTTAGCTGAGACACCTTCTGAGAATTGTTCATCTCCTTTAACCACTTATCTAGTGAGGTTTTTACTTTTATATATTTGTTATGAGTGAATATATCTTCAGATGTATTGGTGTAAAGATTTTTCTTTCCAGTTAACCCATTCCTTTCTTATACTAATGGTTCTACTTTTGTTTGTGCAGGTTTCAAAATTTCTTGCAACTGAAAATATTCAGTTTATTTTTCATAATCTTTATCCCTTTATATTACAAATTCATTTCACTAGCTATGTAAAGTGTATAATTTGATTCTCTCCTCTTTTTTTATCGGTGTAACCTTTGGTATCCTGGTTGCATTTCCATTGAGAATTTATTGAGGTTACACAGCAGAAATTGTTGATCTAGACCTAATTTTCTGTCAGACTGCTTTCTAGCTTTCCTAGACAGTTCGGTCAAATGTGAAATTCTTTCCTAGATCACTATGTAAAATGATTCTGAATCTTCCTATTCTAATCTATTGTAATGTTCTACTTTTTAATTTTCTAAACCAGTACTGCCAAATAGTTTAGATGACTGCTTTATGAAGTAATTTCTTCCTTTTATTCAAACTTTTTGGGATTGTTTTTCTTAATATTCTAGATTTTTTTGGTTTCTCTAATTAAGTGTTATTCCATTCTAGCTCTGTAAAACATCTTCTTGATAGCCTGGCTGATATAGCATTAAATTTATATATTAATTTTGGTAGTATGTCATGACCCAGGCACAAGTACTGAATATCATTCAGTTATGTCAGCTGTTTTATTTCTTTCAGAAGCATTTTGTAACTGTAATAGTGCTGAGTATCTTTTAGTAGATTTGACCATTATTATAAATAGGACATTTCTATTTTTATTCCTTCCTTGATTTTGTATGGCAATATAAAAATGCCCTATATTTTGTGTGGATTTATTTTGTACTCTGCTACATTAATGAAGCTATTAACCATTTCAATTAGGTTTTTTGCTAATTCCCTAAGTACACTGAAATAAACTTTTTCAACGTGGTTAAATTTTACTGAACTGTTTTTTTCTCTTTTTAAAATTTTTTGTTAGGCTCTCTGGAAGGAGAAAGAATACACTGGTAAATTTAAGTGAGGTAAAAAGATATTCAATGAAAAGCAAAGGCTGACTAGAATAGTTTTGTTACAAATAGAGAGACATTATTACTTTCCACTTACAATCAATCCCTTTGCAAAGTAATACCTTGGAATGAAATAGAAACTCTAGTTTCCCCCAGCTGCCTCCCTCCCTCCCTTGCGGCGGTCTTTTCCCCTGGATTACTATTACTATAAAACCTGCTGTTGCCACATGGAATCCATTCCCATTTCCAATTCAGCTTTCCATTTTTCACTTTAATGGAAAAGACAAACCATGTCTTTTACCCAGGCCACTCCTGGCCTTCCCCTGCCCCTTTCCCCCATGTCCTTCTACCACTGAGACCTCATCTGCTCCATGACAAAATTCCAAGAGACTCACCAAGAATCAGACTTCCTCTGAAAGGTAGCTGACCTTGGACTAATTCAGCAGAGTTCTAGTAACTGATCTCATCTTCTGTCTCTTCCCTCTTCCCATGTACCATAAGGCTCAAGTGATAAATAAGTCCACTTAACAAATAACTCTCATTATGTCCCTCCCTGGCTAAAATGTCCAAAGGTTCCTAAAAAACATCTTGAATAAACAATTTAACCTGGCACATAGCCCTCTTATAACCAGGTAGTTGTAGCCTGCTGTTTCTCCTCATTTACCTACTCCTACAAAATGAACTAACTGTAGTTAGTCCCCCCCACTCGGATTTGCTCACATTGACCCTTGTGCCTGGACTATGCCTTCTTCCTCCATTTCTCTTCACTGAGCTTCTACCCATTCCAAGGGCTGAGTCTGGAGTCCGAAGGACCCAAGTTAAAATCCAGCCTCTGAAACTTACTAGCTGTGTGACTCTGGTCAAGTCACTTCACCTGATCTTTCTTCAGTTTTCTCATCTGCAAAAATCGGGACAATAACAGCACCTTCCTTCCCATGATTGTTGGGAAGATCAAATGAGACAATACATGTAAAGTCTGTAGCATGGTGTCTGGCACACAGCACTATAAAATGTTAGTTATTCTTATCATTATCATCATCATCACTATTCTCAGCTCAAATGTGGCATCTCTCCCAGGAAGCCTTCCGTGATGCCCTGTTGAGACCTATAATGTTGGAATTCTTTCTCTTCTTTTTCTAGCCTTCAAAGATCCTCTGCTATGCATCTATCACGTTTTCATTGTTTGTGCCCACATCTTATTTACTCCATTAGACAGAAGGCTCCTTGATGGCAGGGACCCTGTCTTATTTTTCTATCTCTCTAATGTCATACCCACCGTGTTCTCCACAAACTGTGCTGGGTTATTTCAACTCGTCTTGGCAAAGAGTCAAGTATCATCGATGTCCTTTCTTACTACAGGATCACAGGCTCAATTAACTTACCAGAGTTGGAAGGGACTTTGGCTGTCAAACAATATGCATGTGCCCCTCCCCCTTCACTTTACAGATGAAGATACTGAGGCTCGGAAGGGGGAACTAGCTTTCTGAAAGTCATATGGTACTAAGCTGGGATTCCAACCCAAGTCTGATTCTCGAAGGTAGGGAGGCTTTATTTTTGTATCCCCGATGTCCCGTACAGATTGGGGTATGATATTTATTGATTAAAAACCATTTTAAAATCTGGAAAGGGGTGTTTTATTGTTTCAGGGGGCAGTCAGAAGAAATAAGAAAGTGAATTCCATTCCACAATGGAATGGCCCTCCTATAAGAAAGGAGAAAACCCTAAAGAGAAGTAACGAGGGAAACAATGAAAAAGGAAGCAAAAAGAACTGCTGGTCCCTTAGAAGAAAAGGGGATGGAAATAAAACTCATACTCAGTATCCATAAGAGGTTTATACATGCCTGAGGTAACCCCTACATACACACACACAGTAATGATACAGCTCCGCTCTTACCCCCATAAAGCCTCAAATCCAGCAGCTAACATCCCTAGCACCACCTCAAGCAATGGGTGCCACCATTACAGGCTTGGAATTAAAGAAATCTTCCTGACAGGTCTAGGGGAACTGGAAGGATAGGGGGTCTCTGGATTGTGCAGCTGGAAACTCTAATTATTGAAAACTGACATGACACCTCAGCCTTTCTCAGACCTATGATTGAGTTAAATTAAAGGACTGGATTAATCATTTACACACTAAATAATTGAACTTCTTTACCTTTTAATTTTCCCTGATACTTCTGGGAAGGAAGATGAAGAGCCAACATACCTTCTCTTCATTTTGCAGTTTCACATCGTATTTGTGAGGCAGAAATTTTGGAGGAGCCCATTTCTTTTCCCCTTTCTTCAGGGAGGTAGGGAGTTTTCTAGGAGACCTACGTGCCCTGTCACCTAGATATATAAAGAAAAATGAGTTAGGGAAGATGTTAACACAACAAGAAATCTCAGGTCTGAAAGGCATATTGTCCTGTTGGTACTGGCCTACTAACTAGACTATGATACTAGTCTCCCCCTAAAGAATTCAAGGATGTTTAAAGTACTCATCTCTTGACTCCTATTCATGTGGTAAAAATACTTCCAAAGAGCTCTTAAATTTTAGGCACAAAATGCTTTTAATCTGCCAAAGCTTAGAGAGAACCAAAGATATATAAAACCTACATTATGTAATAATTACCATTACTAGAATATGCTTCATGTGTAAATCAGCATGTTATTGTCACATAACTAAGTAATTTAATTTCATAAGAAGAAATGTTAGAATCTGAGGACTTATTAATAGTTAATGCTTAAATTAAAATGGCAAAAAAAAATTTTAATTAGGAATTTAAAGCAAAGCTTATATTAGAAAAATCATGGAGGAAAAACCCCCAAAAACTATGAGTCCTAACTCCTTAAACTTTAGGACATTATTAACATTTTTAATATTCTGAAAGATCTCACATAAAAACGACCAAACAGGTCAAAACCGAACAGCTGGTTCAGTCACCAAGCCAAAGAGTTAAAGGTCTTAAGTTATTCACCTCATTCTACTTATTAAGCTTAGTGGTATTTTATTTTTTATTTTCTCTGTCAATTAAAAAAAAAAAGAATAAAGCCTAAATGAAAAATATTTGTAAAAACAAAATAAAAATAAAAAGGACAAAAAAAGATTGAGTTGCTTATGAAATAGAGGAACTCAAGTTTATGCCACAATGGGTATACTATTCAAGAAAAATTTTTAAATTTAATAGTTGAAGTATATTTTATGGTGTCATTCTCTTAAGCAAAGGCTACTTCTAGATTCTAAACCTATTTTTAAAACACTTTTCCAGGAGCAGAAAATTTAAAAGTAATATTAAAGATTACACTTGAATAAAAACACTCATAACAGTGGTAAATCACTGTTCTTATAGTGGGGTGAGGGGAGGGAGAAAAAATGGTTTGCCCCCTTCCAATTTTGACTGACAATCACTTAGTTGAATGGGAAATTGTGGTGAGAGAACGACCCCAATTTAATTTGTACCCTACTCAGAAACAGGAAAAACCGAATTAAAGGTATTAAAAAGAATATCTTGAATACTAACTGTAGTCTTCTAGGATTCAGATCAAAACCAAAGACAGATTTTGTTAAGCTATGTACCAGGCCAGGTTTTCATCAGCCCATCAAAACTTCTGCCACTGAAATACCATTACTAGGTTTACATCCCAAAGACATCAAAGAAAAGTGAAAAAAGACCTATTTGTACAAAAATATTTATAGGAACTCTGTTGATAGTAGACAAGAACTGGAAATTGAGGGGATGCCCATTAATTGGGGAATAACTAAACAGGTTGTGGTATATGATTGGGATGGATTACTATTGTGCTACAGGAAATGACAAGGAGGATAGTTTCAGAAAAACCTGGGAAGACTTAATATGAACTGATACAAAGTGGATATTGTATGATGATCAACTGTGAATGACTTGGCTACTTTGATTAATATGTCTACCTCCAGAGGGAGAACTGATGAATTCTAAGTGCACACTGAAGCATAGTTTTAAAATAATAATAATAATAATAAATAAAACTTTTAAAATTTTTGTTTTTAATTTCGTTGTTTTTGCAACATGGCTAATATGGAAACATGGAAATTTTGCATGACTTCACATGTGTAATCAATATCATATTGCTTGCCTTCTCAAGGATAAGGAAAAGGGCAAGAGGGAGAGAATTTAAAACACGAAATTTTTTTAAATGAACATTAAAATTTTTTTTACATAAAACTGAAAAATATTTAACTAAATTTAAAAAAAAAACCTCCTGCCATTTAGTCACATTACTCTTTAGTAACGGTCTCATTCTTTTCTTCAGGGCCCTCTTAGCAAGTGAGAGTCTTCTCACAGCCATCCAAAGAAGCAGAAGAAGTGGCCAGCTAAAACGGACACATCTAATTCAGGGCCGCCTCCCTGCCTAACTGACCAGGGAAAGTTTTAGTGTTTGTTCCTTACTGTTTCATAAACTCATCACAAAGGTTAATACAGGGTAAATGATGACAGCAAGATTATATCTGAGCTGTACAAACAAGACTTCTGCGCAGCATACAATGACCTGGCCTTTGATTACAAACCCTTGATTAAAATGAACACCATACATACTAATACTATCTCTCCTGCCTTCATCCTCTTTTATGACTGCATCCTTCTTCTGATGATCCTGGGCCACCTGGCCAGAGTTTTCTTTGTCACTTGATGGAGAATCACAGGCACCGTCAGATTTCTTCTCCGAGGTCTCCTCATCCACCTTCTCCAAAGGATGAATTTTCACAATCTTTACCTTCAGCATTTTTTCCTTCCCAACCTATGAAAAGGGAAAATAAAACCAAAAAACAAAAACAAAAACCAAGAAACCAAGATGGGTTTAGTAAATAAAAGACACAGCTTATTACTTCATTAAGTCACAGTATCTGAAGCAAGATGATACCTTAGATTTTAATGATAGAAATGGGGTTGAAATGGCATCTTTTCTATTCTCCTGAGGGACAGTACCTTTTGTTTAGACTTCTAGCAACTTTTTCCTGTATAGATGCACTCCGGGCCCATTGCAAGACTCTTCCTACCTGAACACAGAGGAGGTAAATTGAGCAGCTCCAGACCCAAGGAGGCACTCACCTCAAAGTCGCACTCCTCCCCCACAGCATATTTGGTCATGATCTCAAGCCATGCAGTATCGACCAACTTCTCTAAGGATATTGTGTTGTGGTGGACCATCTCCAGCACAAGCTTCTCATACCAGGCAGGGAATTCCTCCTTCAAGCTAAGCACAGATGCCATAATTAATAAGAAGGAAAATCCAAAACAAAAGCAATTTCAGCCATTTGGTCAAGGTAATGTTATTGGCTAGCACTCAACAAGTGAGCCCTATGGTCTAAAACTAGTTCCCAGCCACAAGCTAACAACCCCAAATCATTACTATACAGAACCATGTAAAAGGAAGCGCATTATTCTACACAGCAACGGGAAAGAAATCCTACCTCCGACACTTACTAGCTACGGAATTTTAGCAAGTAATTGTGCAAAAGTTTTAGAAAGGACAAGCTGGACGAAGGAACATCATAGCAACAGAAAATGACAGTAAGGGGCAGCTAGGCGGCGCAGTGGGTAGAGCGCCGGCCCTGGAGTCAGGAGGACCTGAGTTCAAATCCGACCTCAGACACAGAACACTTACTAGCTGTGTGACCCTGGGCGAGTCACTTAACCCCACTGCCTAGCCGAAAAAAAAAAACACAACAAAGACAAACAAACAAAAAACCAAAAAAACCAAACCAAACCAAAGAAAATGGCAGTAAGGGATGAGACACACAAATTACAGAAAGATATAACTACTCCAGAAGCAGAACAATCTGAAGGCACAGAGTGGATGGTCTAACAATAATAAGCCAAGACAAAAGGGCCCTTTTCTTGGACATCGAATCTTACCACATTCAAGTTTTATTACGTCTCTGGGTCTGGGGAAACCTAAGAGCCATGCCCCCCATCCCTGCCCTGTGAATGGGCTGCCCTCTTCCCTACAGTCCACAGAAGTTGAGTTTTCAGCCTAGGCTGAGGAGGGAGGTCTAGGGCTGAACAGCCCAATCCCTGTCTAAGCCCACAAGCTCAGGCCAGGAAGAGGCCATTAAATAACCGATACTAAAAATGGTGAACTTGAACCATCAAAAAAGGTAAAATCATGTTCAACAGAGTAAAAGTAAATATCGAATTTGCGGTTTCTTTAGTTTATGGAACACTTCATAGGCAATAAAACTTACTTACAAAGGGAAAAGAACAAGATACGTACTATGTAGAAAAACAGAAATCTTTCTAGGACAAGAAATGAGTTAGTGGTTAAAATTTAGAAGTGCTGGCATTTAAAGAGTTATAGCTAAGCTATCCAGAACAATCTAGGGAACTCTGATACCTTATAGTTTTACCAGAAGTGATTCAAGCTCTCCAGGCATGTAGGGGAAAAAGTTCTGCAAGAAGATGAAAAGAAGGATTTGAGCTGAAAGAGTTCTAGAGAAATGCCTGCTGACTGGAAAACTCAAAGAAGCTCAAGGAACAGCTCTTTAGACTCTGAATTACCAAGGAGAATGAAGCTTTTCTTAAAAATAAATAATTAAGCAAGTAAGCAAACAAATAAATGAATGAATCAATGGATGAATGAATAAATGAATAAGTAAAAGTTTCATACTTGAAGCCAGACACACTGGATGTGCTGGTTAGTTCTGGTGGACTGATTTTTCTTTGCCCTTTTCAACTCAAAGAGTAATTCATGCAGATGGTGTAAAAACCAGAGGTATCAACAACGACAATAAAAGTTGAAATTTAAGGGGGGGGGGGCGCCTTTGTAAAAACAAAGGTCAAAAGAGGCAGAGAGAATCCTAATTGTGATGATAGGAAGGGAAGAAGGACCCCTGTACCTTAGAGCTGAGAAATATTCGAGGTCCTTCTTGGAGAGGAAAAATTATGTAAATTCTCAGGGTCTATCAGATCCGAGATGATCCAGAACGAGTCAGAAGACTTGTGGAGAAGTAGTGACTAGTAACTCCATGCAAAGTCATATTAAAATAGCTATTTGTTGTTCTCATAATGGAGAGGTCCCCAAATGGTCAAAAACAGACGATTATGACCTACTTCTTAGGGATACCTAAGCACAAAAGATATTGCCAGGAAAAACTTTGAAAGTATTGATAAAGGTTTTGAAATTTGGGGTGAGAAAATTAAGATCTTAGTCATACAGATGATGTTTTCATCACGACAATCCATCAAAGACAAGATATCAAAGACAAAATAAAACATTTTGAAGTGAACTACTAGTTAAAAAGAAGGTGTCTAAGAACAAGATTTGAATTTTGGGGCAGCAGAATAAAATACATGAGTGACAGGTTCCTGTCCAGGAAGCAGGAGATAGATACATGAGATAAGAAGACTGTGTCTGCCTAGAGTCTGGCACATCTAATCCAGAGGCCTTTAAAACTAAAAAAGATTGTGTAAGAAGAAAAGTGTGTATATATTTCACCAAAGTAGGAAGCAAAATCCAAAAAAAGGCATCAGTAATGAAAGCCATGGCTTCAATGGTCTACACAGACTAAAGAGTATGGTTAGCTAACAAGTAACAAAGCTTAAGGTAGCAAATTTGACCTCACAGGTATAGACTTGGCAGCGTGATGCTAATTAAGAGAATTCCTCATTCAAAAGAAATAATAAGAGGCCAGAATGTCATAATTAAGATGTATGCAAATGACAGAGAATTTCTTATTTGACAAGAACTGCTGGGAAAACTGGAGAGCAGAATGTAAGAAATAGGTTTAATCAGACCAACATCTTACCCGACCATGCAACAATAAGCTAAAAATGCACATAGGGCCTGAACAGAAAAAATCTCGTCATAAATCGGATCATGTACTTTTCAGGGGAAGGGAGGGATGAGAGTGGGGAGAGGAAGGAGCTCTTTCACTGAAACACAATCAAAAAGAGATTAAAACAAATGATCTTGATCACATAAAAAAAATCAATACAACTAGGATAAAAACAGAAGCAGTTCAGAATATCTCGGCAAAGATTTCTGCTAAGGGATATCGAACTAATACAGATAAGAGCAAGAAAAGACATTCCCCCAATGAGTGTAATCAAACGACACATTTCTCAAAAGAAAAACTTCTGTCAATAACTGCTTCAAATAGCTAATACCAACCAAAACAACTGAGGTTTTACTTCTCATCTAGCAAATCATCAATGAAGACAAATGACAGGAGTCAGTGTAGGAGGGACTATGGAAAGGAGGACATACCAATAATGCTGGTTTGGAATTATGTTAAATAAATGATTAAAATGTTCATACTAAGACAGCTAGTCTCCAACCACAAGAGAAGTCAAAGAAAAGTCCAACATAGATCAAAATGTTTGCAGTGACAAAGAACTGGAAACAAAGTAGATGGCCACTGATCTGAGAAACTGATTAACAAACTGTGGCATGTGAATGTAATAGAAAATTACTGTGCTATAAGAAATCATTTGCATGACAAAGAGAGAAGATCTATATGACTACAACAATGTAAATGGAAAGAACCACACCAAAAGAATCAAAGGTAAATATAACAGAATTATAAAGATCAAACAGGACTCAAATGAAGAGATGAGAAGACACCCTCAACCCATCTCTTCTTGGAAGTGGGAGGGTCCACAGGCACCACACATTGCACATGCTTTTGGACTCTCTCAATGTTACTGATCAGTTGAGCTGATTTTTCCTCCTCTTAAAAAATATTATTTGTTCGATGGCTATCAGGGAAGGGGAAGAAAACTGGGAATAACTAAGATGAATAGAATATATCAATAAAAACTTGGTTTTTAAAAAAAAAGTCTTAAGAGTTTCAATGAACTCCACAGTCAATATGTTAAGTGTAACAAGGTAGCAAAGAAAGTTAATACCATCTTTTGGACTACATTAAAAGAGGCACAACACCACAGAAGGTAACAGTACCATTGTCCCGGTCAGAATATATTTCACTTATGGCTCTTTCGAATGTCATATTTTAGGAAAGCTACTGGTAACTGGAGAACGCCATGAAGACAGATCTAAGAATAGTGGACAGCCTCAGTTCATGTCATAATAATGAGTGTCTGTTAAAAGAACTAATGCTTTTTCTCTAGGATGAAGCGACCTGTCTAACTACCTTGAAATCTGTAGCAGAAATCTGTAGCACTATCATGTTGAAGCCTCATTCTCTATGACCCCGGGGGCAGAATCAGAAACAAGTAAAAGGGGGCCGAGCAAACAATGTGCTTGATCCTGGCTACACCCCTTAACGCCTCACTATCCCCTGGCTCTTCCTCTCTTCTGGACCCTAACAGTCCCCCCTGTAAAATGAGGGTCTGGACTCCATGCCCTCCCAGACCTTCTAGCTCAAAATAAATGGTCCCATTCAAGAGTGGGGAATTCCCAGGTTCCTCTCCCCGCCCCCCCCCCATTGCAACCTTCAAGGCTGGGGATGTGGGAGAAGGAATTTATGTTCAGGCCACTTGGCCTAGGGCACTTCTGAGATGCGTCTCATTGATAGTCTGTGATACAGATATAAACTTCAAGAAACTGAGGCCACTGAAGAAAATCTCTAAGGCAAGGGAAACAGAAAAAATGGAAATATATACAATGTTAGAATGAAGTCATTTTAACTCCCAAACTTGTAATATTTGGCATATTTACAAATATTAAAACTGAGAAAAATATGGAAAAGATGTTTGGGGAAAAAACCCAAATCACTCAAAGCTGGCTTCTGTTCCTAAATTATATTTATATACTATTGATAAAGGTACATGTCTCTCTCAAGGTCCAAAAGATGAACATAACATATTACTGTCCATAGAAATATCTTTGGCATCTTTCAACGTGGTTCAGTTTTACTTGTCAAGTTAGATATCTATGTTTATAAAAACATTAACCAATCTCATGCCAGCTATTCAGATAGTAATAATCAGACATAAGAAAACTGTCAATACCTCTTACCAACAACAGTCAACAAGGCAGTCCAATAATTTGGAAACTATCAACAGCTATGTTTTGGCAGGAAGCCAGAGCAAACCCAAAGCATCTAGCTCTGCTGGTGGCTCGGCTTCTCCAGACGACAGGGGTAAGATGACCCCATTTGGAGGCAGAAGCACGGGGTTTGAATCCTCTATCTGCCACTTAGTACCACTGACCTATATCACCTTAACCAAGTCATTTGCTCATCTGACGAAAGGAAGTGAAATAAGTAATCTATAAAGTTCCTTCCAACTCTTTACTTTGATCATCTACAATCCTCTGAAAAGAAAGATTTAGTTGCTACAAGGTTCCCTCCTAGCCCACCCTAATACTAGGGTATATTTTAAAATTTTAATCAGACACTTTGAGTGTATACTTCTGTCACAAAAAATTAAGAATATTCATTGTCATTTGTTGTTCAAATGATGGTTTGAACCCAGACAAACTAAATATAAAAACCAAATAACACAGCAAAAAGTAAAAACAAAAAAACAAACCAAAAAAACCCTCATGGCAAACCTGGAACTATTGACCAAAATGTACAACCTTGTCATTCATCACACTAGCCTGTGATAAGTGGTAGGTTAATGCAACTCCCCTAAGGTCCAAGGAAAGCCTGAAAACAAACAGTGCTCTTTACTTCCACAATGGACAATAAATAAGTATGAAACATAAAAGAATATGGTCACTAAGTATAAGCATAATATATTTTGGAGAAAGTAACATAATTTCTGTAAAGGAAAAAAAAAATCACATCTTACTGCCCTAACTCAATAGTTCACCGCAGCATCTGAATATGGGAAAAACCAATTCATATTAGATGTTCCTGCTTCCACGCCTCAAAAAAAAAGGTTTTGTTCAGCAAAGAGCATCAAAACTAAGTCAAAAGACTGAGAAAAATGTTCTTTCAGGGATACTACCACTATATACAAATTTACTGTAATCAGAGCTATTATTTTATTTGACCCAACAATTTCTTTAATCTCCTACTTCAGAGATGAAGAAACTAAGGTTCAGGAGACTTTGCTCACATCAGGGACTAATTAGCTGCAATGAAGCCAAGTCTAGAACCCCGTTACCCGACTCCTACAGTCCAGAGACAATCTAGAAACCCTAGACCACTGATCTAAGCAAAGAAAAAGGGACTCCATTTTAGCCTGAAGACCAAAAAAGAGGAGTAAGTAGAAGACTGCAGGTGGAACAATTTCCCTTCCAACCCCCCCCCCAGGGTATTGTCACTCATATGCTGTCACTCTGAGGGTGTAATTTCCTTTTAAATATCTTCCTCTTGATTCTACCTTCAGGTTCCAAATATCTTCTTTGAAAAGGCAATCACAGAATTTTTGAGTTGGAAAGGACCTGAGGGCTATTTCACCTAACTCCTAATTTTAAGAGGAAAATCAAAAATCCACAAGTTCTTCTCTTGGCACTCTGGTTGTGATTTTCTTGCAGTCAGTGTGGTACACTGAGTAGTCAGTAAGCCTAAGGTTCAAGCCTGGGATGTACCAGGGCTGCGTGGCCATAAGCAAAACACAGCAGCCCTCAGTACCTGCCCCAAGCAGCGAAGATAAAACCGAAGAGCAGGGTGCCCACCCATACCAGTAGGAGGAGTTTCCTCCAAGACAAAGGAAGATAATGCGTGCTATTTTATATGATACATGTCAAGGAGCATGGGGAAACTTATATACAGTGAAGTAGGCAGAACCAGGAAAACAGGGCAAGCCATGTCTACAAGAGAAACGGACGTAACACACAGTAATCAAAACGGAATATTATTCAAGCATAATGACCAAGGTCTGTCCCAAAGACTACTGAAGAAGGCCCTGATCCTCCCCTTCTTTGCAGACCTGGGGGAAATAAAGGTGTGGAAACACTGCCAGCCAGGATGCCACAGTCAGACATTATCAATTTATTGATCAGTTCTATTGAACTTTCTCCCTCTCTTATCCTGTTACAAGGAATGGCTCCAAGATGAGAGTGAGGAGGAAATGTCAGGAAATGTAGATGATATAAAAGTAAAACAGATAAAAAACGACAGGAACGGCTCAATGATTATTTCAGTCACCCTTCAGTTTGTGCTCTAATCATTATGTTCCATATCACCTTATTTTATGATGAACATCGAATGTGTTTTGTACTAAAGCACTTTCCTGGACAACGGAAGAAACACCAACCCTCTGTCAAGGGCCCCGGCTCAAACCTTGGCTACTTCCTACCTAGATGTGTCAAGCTGGCCTCTCTCTAAGCCCGTTTCTTCACTCGTGGGATGTTATTTATACTAACCACAGCTAACAAAAGCATCTGGAGGTAATAAGTATTTCGTAAATGATAAAGTTACTACCCCTACCTTACAAGTAAGGAAACTGAAGGCCAAAGAAATAAGATGCTATACTGCCTTACATGTAGCTCACATCCCTATGAAGTTCAGGTATTCTCTCAAATTCTGAATTCCTGACTTACGAACACCTCGGCACCGATAAATAACTGACCTATGCTGCATCAGGATAGAACAGGGCTCCCCACATAGCTCGAAACGTGAATAGTGAATATTCCCACTTTCCCATTTTGCCACGTACTTTCCTACAGAAACAAATGTTACAGATGATGGTTAAGTTCCTTGGCTAACCCCTAAAATATCGTTAACACACAATATAGCCAAAATGTAGTGATCTGTAACACTGTTTCCATGATCCAACACCGATCTACAGTGGCACTGTCCTAACAATCCATTCGAGGCTGCATATTTCTCTGATATGCTGAAAAAGCAACAATAAGGAGACCCCAATGTTTTAATGCAAGTCAAGTTTGGAGACAAAAGTGTGACCTACATGCAGACCAATGTGGTCAACCTGTCCAAGGTTATGCACAAGGCTCAAATTCTTGTAGTCTTTCTACAACACCAAGAGTTGAAGCACCACTGAAATTTAAGGATACCAGGACACAAGATTCCTCCTAACTCTCAAACAAGAGTTCTTCACATGGGATTGACAGACCCCGAAGATTCCACGGATAGATTTCAGGGAAATCCGTGAACTTGGATGGGGGGGGAGCTTTTATTTTCACTTTTCTCTAAAAGAAGCATATGGCATTTCCTTCCATTATGAAGGTAGACAACAGACTGCTATCCTAAGAAGTCCACAGGCTTCACCAGATTGCTAAGGACTCAAACAAGGTGAAGAAGCTCTGCTCTCTAATGAATTTAGGTACATTAAGTGCCACCCTCCTCCCAAGCGGGGCTACATTTCCCAGGGTGGTCTTGACCGCTGTAAATACAGAGAACAAGGTTGGGCTGGCAGGAGGAGGTTTAGCTCACCTCACAGCAGCAGCCCAAACCTCACCCCACGTTTCGAATGTCAAAAAGCATTTGTGAGATCAGTGCTGAATCTCTCCCCCACCCAGGGCTACTCACAGCTCGGCCACTTCCTGCTCCTCCTCCCAGGCCTCCTTGTGCGTCAGCTGGCTGCTCCCGGTGCTCTTACACGTCCAGATCCGCTCGCCGTATCTTTCCAGGCGCGCCTCATACTCTCTGTGGGGGCCAGGGCTCAGGAAAATGACATCCAAACGACGGAGGGGAACAACATCCCAACCCAGTGATGCTTGCTTTAGTTACAAGACCCACAGAGAGCCATCCAGAGTCAAACACATCAAACTAAAGAGGCACCAGGGCCGTGAGTAAGTACAGGATGAGTGAAGGTACAAAGTCCCTGTTGAGTGACTCGGGCCTTAATCCATAAGCAAAGGATTGGCTTCTGAGCACGGGCACTTTTTTCATCTTACTAAACCAGTCATGAAAGAGCAGACAGAATCGAGCTGGTGCGTCTCAAGACCTCAGTTCAAGTGCTAACCCTGGCACATACTTACTGTACACCCGGGGCGAGGAACTTCGTTTTAATGCCCCAAACAGAGTAAATGTGAATCTGGACTGGCAGGAGTCGCCTCATGCAGAGAGTTCCGGTCTCGAAAAGTCTATCTACCTCACGCCGGGTGGAAGCTGAACGTCACTCAAAACCCCAAATGAAAGCTACAGCCTCTCTCCACCCCCCACACCCCCATGAGATGCCTTCACCAGAGCCGATCTGAAACCACCCATTAGAGCTCTAAGGCCAGCAGCATCTGGAGGATGCTTGCCAGCCAGGATGGTGACTCTGGCTGCAAGCCAAAGCTCAGCCTCAGGGAGACGGGGAGAGGGAAGGAACCCAATGGGGACGAGAGGACAGCCCGAGCAACTCTCACTTAAGGAGCGGAGCCAACCAGGTGTCGAGTGGAAGGGTCAAAAGGGAAATCAGACCGTGGTTCTAATGCTAATAGACTAATGAGGTTCCAATCCTTATGCTGGGGAGCAGTACAGTGGAAAGGAGGCTAGATCCGAAGGGGAAAGAGGAAGGAGAGTTTGAATCCTGGTGCCATTTATTACCTTTAGACCTTAAGTGCCTCAGTTTGCTTCCCTGTAAGATGAGAGGCCTCTGAGAACCCTTCCTGTTCTGTACCTCTAATCAATCCTAACTCAGTTAACTCTGGGGAAATTATTTCATCTCCTTGGGCCTAAACTCCTCAATAGTAAACTGAGGGAGTTCAGACCTCTCTGACGTCTCATCTCTACTCTGAACTAACTAAACAAGGAAAAAGGGATTTGAAATGTGAGATAAATTTAGATGAAAAACTTGCAGTGGGATGAGAGTGAATGCGATCTAATGACTTCACCGGCAGCCTTCTGCCTGGGGAAGGATCCAGAGTTTTTCTTGAAACTAAGTTTCAAAAGTGAGTTGCTCTCTTCAGACAGCAGTCAAATAATGTTCAGAAAGGCATTTCGTAACAAGACCTGCTTCTCATCCTTTTTGCTGCCTCCAATGCAATGATGTTCCCAAGACCACTTTAGCAGCCACTATTTAGAAGCTATGGGAATAAAAACAGATCAGTCTGATGGCTCCATCTTGCCATGCTACCCCAATGGCAATTCACTGTCATCAGGCACATGCAAGTCATGAGCTGCCCATGGTGGGTAACCAATGTTCTTATACCTTACAGCAACATAAAGTGACATCACAGTCCCAGTCCTCTGCCGACCTCAGTATCTTCCAAGTGGCTGCTTTAACAACAGCAGAACGAAAACTCTGAAAACCTCTCTGTGCTACCACAGGAATGTAAATATTCCCTTCCAGTCATCTGCTCACTTGATTATCCAAGGTTATGATGAGGTGAACCCAGAACAACATAGGCAAATCAAACCTACCAACAGAATCCAAAACTATGATGACTCAACAATTTCTACTCATTCCCTGATCTTTCTGAATAATTAGTAACATTTTGATTTTCCCACCACCCTCTGATATTGGTACAGATGAAGAGTAAATCATCTAAAAGGTAGTTAGAAAAAAGAACAGAAACAGGGTCAGAAGTGCTAGGAGCCACAGATCTCACTTCCACGCTGGCCAAGAGATCCAGGCACCCTGGAGTCAGGAGACTTGGGCTGGATCTGGGCGCCAACATTTAGCCAGCTATGTGATCCTGGACAAGTCACACAGCTGCTTCAGAAGGAATAATAATGCTGGCCATTACCTACTTCATGGGGTTATGGGCAGGAAACCCTTAAAAGCGCTGTGCAAACGTGACATTATTTGTAATCGATAAACACAATACAAGGTATGGGGAGACAAAGAAGAATACATGTATGGAGTTCCAGGAAGAATTTTTAAAACGGTCACGGGGAAATTACAGGACAGAGGGTTGTATTTGCTATCACTACTATACCAGGAGGTGTTTTTAAACTATCTTGGTTATAAGGAATGGTTCATTTTTTCTGTGTATAGGGAAATATTTCCAGAAATAACCCACATGAAAACAAAAAGGCATCAATAAGACTTCAGAAGAAAAAAAACCTTTATAGAGTTTGCCATCTACTACTATTCTAAAAAAACTTGAACTGCCCTAAGATATCAAAGGAAATACCACCTCGCTGATGGGAAACAAAGGGTTATCAAAGTAACAAATCAAACAACAGCATCTCCTGGAGAGGGGACTAATCATTCTTAATACTTCAAGGACCTGGGAGAAGTTCTATTGTCCCATGGTGAAGGGCCACATTGAAAAGTGGCAGTCATTGAGACAAGAACCAGAAAACATCTTAAAAAATACTATGTAGAGGGAAATCTCCAAATGGCATCAAGTTTTTCCAGGTAGTGAAATGGCCAAGTCAACAAGGAAGATCACACCTTCTGGCAGAACAGTGGGGGTGAGTTTTATTTGGGCAGGTATATGGTAATCCATTTAGGAAAGAATAATTCCTACTATGAGAAACAGCATGGCATGACGTACGTCTAGAGAGCGGGCTTCAGAGTCAGGAAGAGCTGGGTTCCAGTTCCACCTCTGACTTACAAGGACTTAAATTAAGGGACCTCATGACTCAGTGCCCCAAGCACTCCAAAGCTGTGCTGTAAGGGCCAGTTACTGATCGGTGCTGGAAGAAGTTTCTTCACGAGGAATTCCTTACGCCAATGAAATCACAGGTCAGAACCAAAATTTCAAAATCTGACTTTCCTTTTTTTAGGATCATTAAAGGAATCTAAAAATCTTTGAGGGAAACAAAGTAAGTGCAAGAGGGGGACAAAATGGGCAATTCTGATTATAACTCAACACAGACTGCAGAGGGGGAGAAGGAAGGGGTGGTAAACAAAAAAAGATTGGCTTTCTCAAATCTAGAAAGATTAAAAACCTGAGGGAATAAGTCTGAAATCTAGAAAATCACAAGAACATGGTTCTACTTCTTTCTTATAAATTTTCACTAATGTGAAAATGTTTAATAGGAATGTATCTGTATAGCCTATATCAGATTGCGTGCCATCTTGGGGAGAGAGGGGAAGAAAATTTTAAAACTTAAAAAGCTTATAACAGTGATTGTTGATAAATCAAAATAAATTAAGGAAAAAAATTAAGAAAATCACAAGGACTATTATGGGCTGACTGAATACAGCCTGGTTCAGATACAGAAGCAACAGAATGAGGAGATTTCTTGGAGTGCATTTCAATTTAGTGTTAAATGAAAAAAAAAATCAATCAAAACAATTATTATTCCAAAAGTTTGGAACAGGGGCAAACGACCTCAGCTACATCCTCTCTCAACACTTTTAGGTTACTTCCAACTTCTGAGTTTAGGTATCACTTTTAACAATGTTATGGGATTTAGAAGAAAGATGAAAATGAAAGAAAAACATCCATTTGGGGGAAACTTAAGTAGGTATTTCCAAAAGCTAATTCAGATTTCAGGTTTCCCTAAATAAATGTACCCTTCCAAAAACCACTCAGCAACCACAATTTTGAAGTTCCCACGTTTCAGTGATTCCTCCACAGGCAGTAACAGACAAAATCTCACAACAATGCCCCAGGCCTTTGATAACCACAAATGAGAAACACATTTAAATATAAGAAGATTTTTACCGTGCATCTATGCTGAGAAAGACCAAGACTGGCCTTCCTGCCACCCAGCCTTGCAGGGCCCTTTGTTCTCCTTAGCCTTGTAATGTGACTCTGGGCTTCTTTCAGAAGAACAGTTGATGGGAAGGAGAGGGAGGTGGGTGGGTGGGTGGGTGGGTGTGTGTCTGTCTGTCTGTCTGTCTGCCCTCAGTCAGAGGCCCAAACTGACATTTCCTGCAGTACCACAAAAAATAAACAGTGCTACATTATTAATAGTGAGAAAAGTAAAAGAATTTTCAATTTGGCTTTTTTATTCTTCTGTGTTCTCACTGAACCAGTTAACCATTAAAGCATGTAAAAACTAACTGCTCTCACATAATCTTATACTTAAATTAAAATATTGAAGTCAGGAGGCATAACAGCTCAGCATTCCATCTGTCCAGTGCAATTCTGTCTTGTAACTGCAACTTAACTCCATGTACAGCTGCCCAGCTTTCATCAAGACAAACCCTGGGTCACATTCTTGCCCAGTACAACTACATATTAACATTTAAACAGTCCTTGCTCCTTCTGCTTCCTATAGCTCCCATACACAGTTAATAAATAAGTCCATGTCTTTATACTTGAATGTTTACTTAGCACAGGAAAAAAAAACCAGCTGAAACCATGCAAAAAAAAGAAAAGAAAAGAAAATTAATCTGACAGGCTTATTTTAACTACAGCCCTTCCTGAAAAACTAAATTTATTTATAAACAATGTTCAATGTATCATCAAATCCCAATCCATCATATCAAATTCAGGGCTGATTCTAACAGGGTTTTTATACTTCCCAACCTCAAACCCCACACCTAAACAACTCATTTTAGTTTGATCTCATACACATCACCATCACTGACATGTTAAGTCAGTTACATAACGAAAGAGCATTATTCACAACTACCTTCTGTATTTTAATGAAGATGAAAGCTCTACATCTTTACATTTCAACAATATACCACCAACACTTTAACATTTCCCCTAGGTGGTATATACCAAAAGGCAAAAAAAAAGAAAACTAGAGTAGCAAATCCTACCAAAATCAGAATTTTAAATACTAAGCTGAATGCGGAACTGGAAATATATGTGCAATAACTGTTAGCCAACCAAGGGACTTATTCACTTCCGGGAGACAACTAAGGACCTTAGAGACAGAGATATGCCAACCACACTCACACACCATTGAGGAGCTTCCATTTGTAGCAATTCACAAGAGAGCGATTCTTCATCTATAAAATGAAAGCCAATTAAAACCTTCACACGTCAAAAGGCTTCTTAAAAATAACAGTATGAGAAATAATGTTAAGCAAGAAGAGAATTTAACCTCCAGCACATTTTCCATTAAATACTTTTTTTGGTGACTATAGCTTGCTTTTTTTAAAAAACTATTTCATCGTCAATATCAAAATAAGAAAAGCCCTTATGGCAAAGGCCATTTCATCCGTCTCTGCAACCCCCTCAGAACACAGTAGGCAGCTAAGATTTGAAGCGCTTAACAAACATTTCACTGAGTAAGTAACGTTAAAGGGTCATGGCTGAGTTCGGTGAGGACGGCAATAGTTGACGTGGCCCAGTGCCCAAAGCAAAAAAGAACCGGGTTATCTTCGACTCCACAGGGCCCCCCTCCCCCAACTCCGCGGCTTCGGAAGTCTTTCCCACCTCATCCTTGGCAAATTAAAGGCCCACCGGCTAGATGATCGAGGGGCTCTCGGTCCCTAGAGAACCTTCCAATACTCCTGTCCACCTCACATACTGCTCAGAGGGCCAAGGGCATTTCAAGACTCACAGGCTGGGAGGCGGGGGACTCCGGGTCTACTGCACAGACACGGAACAGAAAGAAACGCACCACAAGCGTGAGACTTAGGATGACAGCCCGGAACCCACAAAGTTCGGCAGCGTCTAAAAACCCCTACGACTACGCCAAGTCATCAGACGAGCCTTCCCGCGGTGCAAGTCCCGGACTCTCCTTCCCCAGTGAGGCATCCACACCACAGCAAGTTTAAGAGCGGCCCGTCAAGTCACGGGAGGCTCCCCCCAGGTGACTCCGGGCCGCTACTTCTGCCCAATTACTCAGCCTTCTCCCCGCCGCTTCGGCCCCTTTGTTTTGGAGGCCGCCGGCTCCAGACTAGATCCCAGGGAGAAGTGGCCTGGGCGGTACCGGGGACCGGGATCCCGGGAAAACCTCTCCAAAGTCCTTCCCCCCCCCCCGGAGACCAAGAAGCGCTTCCGCACCGGCCCGGGGAGGGGGCACCAAGACCCCCGCCTTTTGTCTGGGCTGCTGCGGCACGAGTGTCAGCGGCCCCGGGCGCCCGAGCCCACCGGGGAGGGCGAACGTGGAGCGGCCTTCGGAGGCCTCCGGGGACGGAAAGCCGGGCCGCCGCCACTTCCCCACTGCGGGCCGGGGGCTCGGGCAACAATGGCCAGAGGCGAGGGGGAGGAGGAGGAGGAAGCGGCTGCGAGGCCGCCGCGTGGTCCGCCCGCCCCCTCCCCGGGCTCTCGGCTCCTGGCCCGCGGGGCACGCACGGCTGCCGGAGAACGCAGCGAGCGAGCCGGGCCCCAGGCTCCATCCGGGCGCCCGGCCCCCGGCCCCGCTGACAGCCATCCCCGCCGCCCTCGGGCCCGGCCCCAAAGGATACTCCCGGGTCCGGAAGGCCTCCTGCGTGTGCGGGATGACGAAGAGCGGCTCCTCTCCGGGCAGCGGCTTCACCAGCGGGAACGGCTTGCGGCCCAGCAGCGGCGCCATCGCGGCGGCGGGAGCCGGGCTCGGCCCGAGCCCGAGCGCGACCGAGGCCGGCCGGGGGGGGCCGGGGGGAGAGAAGCGAGCGCAGGGCTAGGGAGGGGGGGCGGCTGCTCCGCGAGCCCCGGCCGGCGCGCGAAGCTAGGCCTAGCCCTCGGCCAGGCGCAAGCTGCTCTCGCGCGCTCTCCTGCGCGCGCTCGCTCGCTCTCCCTCCCTCCCTGCGGGGCGGGGGGAAGGCGTGAGCCCCGACTCTCCTTGCTCTAGCCCCGCCGGCGCGGAGGCCGCGACGGGAAGGACCCTCGGGAGGGGGGGCGAGCAGCTCTCCCCCACGCCGCCGCCGCCGCCAACGCGCTTCCCTGGGGTCTGCCGGCCTCCCGCGGAGCACGGCCAAAAGCCCCGGAATCCAGCGTTCGCAGCGACTCCTCGGCAGCCCCGAAGGAAATTATTGAAAAATGGCGGGAGATTGCCCTCCTCCCCCCGCCCGTCCGGCGCTCACACTAACTTGCTCCCCCGTGGCGCCTCTGGCGGCGGCCGCAATAGGCGGGGAGCCAGCCGGCGCTCGCCCCTGATTGGCTCACGCTGGCCGTCGCTCAGCCCCCGATGGCCCCGCCCCTCCTCGGCTCCTGCCGGGTAGTTGGGCTGCGGCGCAATAGAGGGCAGTGTGAAGAGGTGAGAGGTCAAGTTATGTAAGCGCCGGCCGCCAGCTCTCGCTTTTCGGGGACACGGGCGGGGGGACCACTTTGGGTCGGAAGCAGTGGGCGACCAGCGGGGTCCAGGGCTAAGTGAGGGGGAGAGGGGCAGCGGAGGGGTCAATCCGGAGAATCCCCTCTTTACGGACACTGCGCCATCTGTCACCGACGGCGACACTGACATCCGGGCACTTCGGTCCGTGCGCCGGAGGGGAGGGGGCGGGGCGCGCGCGTCCGGGGGCTTTGTCTTTCCTCTTGGGCCCCGCCCCCGTCTTAAAGGGACCGCGGGCGGCGCGGGGCCACACCCCAGGAAGGTGCCCAAGGCCAAGGCCCGGGAGGGACCCAGTACCCCCTGGCTCGAGGGGCCGCCTGCAGTGGCTCACTGGGGGCACTTGGGAGGGCAGGCGTTAAAGGAAACAAAGCCAGTTCTCGGCATCCTTCAAGCCGGGGGAGCCCCCGCTTTGTTATAGGAGACCCCCCCCCGGCGCTCCCTTGGCCGCACTCTCGGCTGCTTGGCCCCGGCCCCGCCTCCTCTCCCCCACCCCCCAAAACGCCTTGCGGACACAGCCCGGAGGCCTGGGGTCCCGTAGAAGGGTCAGTGCGTCAGAGAAAGGGCGGACAGCGCTGTGGGGGACTGGAGGGGGCACCTCAAAAAAGGAGGTGGCCCCGGGCGGTTGGGGGGTGGCCCAGGGCTCGCGTCCTGCCCAGGACCCCGTCTCCCTGAAGTCTGGGTCCGGATCCGACCCGGAGCATCGCAGGACCCGGAGCGGGCCACTTAGGTGTTGGGGGATGGGCGATGTCAGGCCGCCCCCAGTAACCGCTCGGAACAACCCAAAGTTTGTTTTGTAACTCTCGGAGTTAACCAAGTAATATTTTGTTCTGTTACTGTAATGGCTCCAAGGACTTAGGTTCAAGTCCAGAATCCGAGGCCTGGCCCTCGGCGGTGTTCATCTGTAAAACGAAGTGGCAGCTCCAGCTGTTCAAGATCTGTAAACGAGGGAAGCAGCGCTCCAGACTTGTGTAAATTTGGTGTTCCTCCTCCCCTCAATACCTATAAGGGCTTTGCGCCTTCCATGCAGGAGTCGTGGGAAGGGAATGACTATCCGAACCTACTATGTGGCTAAGCCGTGTCCTCAGCGCTTTTTAAAGAAACAATATTTGATCGTCACAATCCTGGGACGTAGATGCTGTTATTCTGCCCATTTTACAGATAAGGAAACTGAGGCCAAGTGGTAACTTGCCTAGGGTCACACATCTCAGGAAATATCTTAATACAGATTTGAATTCAAGTCTTCCGGACTCCAGGCCCAGCTCTGACTACCACACTAAATAAAATGTCGATTTAAGGTTCCCAACTCACCTATCTGCAACGCTTAAATACACTATATTTGAGGAAGGGAAAAAATGGTAAGAAAGAAGAAACCAGAGGGGACCAACTTCACAGAAAATTCAAGACTTCTAGAACAGCCTGTTCATTGCCATACTTGACCCATGTTTGTTTTGTTAGCCTCCTTACAAACTCCCAACTTGGAGGCGGGTCATTCCTTTCTGGCTCCTCTTGACAAAATGAGGCTTGTATAGACCTTGATAAAATGTGATCTTCGGGGGGGGGGGCATCTTAGCTTGGTCTGTGTTTCCAGTGCATAGCATAGTACTAAGGTATACAGTAGATTCTTAATAAGTGCTTGATTCTGGGTAAAGGAGAGCTAATGGTTTGTAGGCGGCAATAGGAATCTGCAGAGGGACAGTATCCAAATACTATGTCTCTACCCTGAAAGGAAGGAACCTCTGAGAGGCTGGCACATAGCCCAGCCAGAATCCCCTCCTCCACCACACCCCCACCCCATGGCCCCTCCCTTAAGCAGCCCATCCCACCTGGGAACTGGAACCTTGGTTTAGGTCCTTTCCTTACTCCAAATCTAAATCTGTCTCTTTGACTAAGCTGCTCCCCATCCTCCTTTTTTGAGCCAAGCTTAAGAAACTCAATTCCCTTCCCTAGGACTGACTGCCTTTTGAATACTAAGTCCACCAGAAGGTAATCTCCTTAAGGACCCAGAGAGTTTGAATTCTAAATCTTTTCTCCAGACTGAACTTCCTGGTGTCTTCAGGTAGTCTGCAAGTCTTTTGCAGTCCTTATTTGAGGCACCTCAAAAGCAAAACAAAACTGTTAGCCCGAGGGACAAAAGAAAAGGGAATGTAAGCATGACTGATCACTTATTTTTTAGCTTTTTAAAAAGAGATTTATAATGCTAAATACTCCAAACAATAGCTGACATTTATACAGGTTTTAAAGGGCAACCTGTCAGACATCAGTCATTTATAAAGAATTTACTCTGTGCCTGGCACAGATCTAAACTGAGGATATCTGGGGGGGGGGGGGAAGCCAAACTGGGATTCCTGCCCCCAAGGGGGAGATGTTCTGTAATGGAGGGATAAAACCAGAAGATAACTAGGTACATACAAGACATATGCATAAATGGGAGGTAATTTCTAAGGAAAGGTATCTGGGGGGACCAGGAAAAGCCACCTGAAGAAGGGGGCATTTGAGATGCATCTTGAAGGAAGTCAGGAGGCAGAGGTGAAAAAGAAAAAAACGTTCCAAGCCCAGGAGACAGCCAGTGCAAAGGGACAGAGCCCAAAAATAGTTACATGAAGGAACAGCCAGTGGGCCCAAGTAGCTGGATTGTGGCTTGTCTGGGGAGGAGTTAAGTGTAACCAGACTGCAAAGGGTCCTAGTGGTGGTGGGCTTAAAAAGCCGAACAGAGTCTATTTGACCCTGGTGGTAGTAGAGAGCCATTGAAGATTGAGGGGAAGGATGGTAACTCGGGTCAGCAGACTGAAGGATGGATTGAAGTGGGAAGACTTGAGGCAAGGAAACCAATTTGAGGTTTTCAAAATTACTTTTGTACATTTTATTTATTTGATGAAAGATGATAAAAAAATCAGTTTCTTCCCAGTGAGGAACTTTGCTGATCATTAATGGACTGTATCCACAACGTCCTAGATTTAGTGTTGGGAGGGACCTCAGCAATACCCTCATTTTTAAGAGATGAGCAAATGGAAGCCTTGTCCTGAAAGCAGTCAGCTGCCGAGCCAGGCCCTGACCCCAAGATCCTCTGACTCCCCCCAGACTCGGTGTTTTGGGGCTGCTTCCCCTCAGAGTCAGCAGCAAGAGCTAATAGCTAGGCTCTCCTAGCCTCTGGTCCCACTTGCTTTGCCTTTTTCTGCTTTTTGTGGGCAGGGAACTGCTTTAAGGCTGATTTCTGGGCCAAGGGGAGTCAGTACTTTTGGGGGAGCAAAGCTTTCCTATGCTCTGACGTTGAAGTCAAACAACTTTATTTTGTCTCCATAATTTGTTGACTTGTAAGAGTTAGCGAGGGTGTCGGTGAAAGGGCAGGGCTGTCATTATTGTGTTCTTCAGACTCAACGTTTCCCGATTTTTCAAAAATAATTTTGTCCTTAATTCGATGGGTGCTCCTTCCTCCCTCTGGGGCCTCTTCTGGATAACAAAGCCGACTGACGTGACCAGTTAGTCAACTAGTATTTATTAAGCTGAAGAAGCAGGTAGGTGGCTTGGTCATGGAGTCTGGAAGACCTGAGTTCAAATTCAGCCTCAGACACTAGCTTTGTGAACCAAACCAGGGCAAGTCACTTAATCGGTCTGTCTCAGTTTTCCCATCTCTAAAAGGGAGATAATACCTCTCCTAGTAGTGGTGAGGATAACTGCTATATAAATGCTTATTCCATTCTTATTCAGTTCTCTTCTCCCTCGGGTGATCCCAGCTCAGAGCTAAGCACTGGGAATACCAAAAGGAAAAAAGAAGTCCTTGCCCTCAAGGAGCTTATAGTCAAATGGGGAAGACATCACACAAAAGGAAGCTGAAAAGGGGGTAGGGGTGAGAACAAAATGGCTAAATCCAGAGCAGTGCGGCCCTGTGGGAAAAGAAGAGACGGCTGGCCTAGGAGCTCTCCAATCTGAGGGAGGGGCCCCAGGGGCTGGGGGTACAAATGAGGAGTGATTTCCTGTGTTGATCTCCCCTTAGAATTTGAGTGACTGAGGACAGATATTTTTATCTGGTCTCTCACAGCTGGTACTTTTCCTGGTATGCTGTAGGTGTTTAAAATCAATGGGTATTGAATTGACCTGTTAAATGGAAGTAACATCCTGTCCCAAGGCTCCCCTGAAACTTCCAGTTGGCTCACCTTGGCCTAGAGGGGTGGCCTCAGGAGATAATGATTTAGCCTTCAGAGCTTTCCTTAATCTCACCCTGCTTACCAGTTCTACCTACTGGATCCCTGTTAAATCCTCAAGAAGCAGCCAGACACCAGGCTCCTTCCAGTCTGGAGCACTTGAATTACTTATGCTACCCCCGAGCAGTCAGTCAGTAAGCAGGTATTGGGCCTGGCCT